TGTGTAGTCAGAGGCACATATGTTGGGTTCTTATGCAGGGTGTTCAGTACAAAGTCAGAGAATCACAGAATGGTTTGGGTTGGAAGGGACTTTAAAGATCATCGAGTTCAAACCCCCTGCCATGGGCAGGGACACCTCCCACCAGCCCAGGTTGCTCAAAGCCTCATCCAGCCTGGCCTTGAACCCCTCCAGGGATGGGGCATCCACAGCTTCTCCGGGCAACCTGGGCCACTGCCTCAACACCCTCACAGGAAAACATTTCTTCCTAATATCTCCTCTAAATCTACTATCTTCTTCTATTCACATCATTTTGTAACTTCCCTCTATGTTTCTTAGAAGCTGTTTTCAAGCTTTGTTTTCTCTTTAAATCGCTTGCTCTTTCTGTGTCTCATAAGCAGTGAGTATGGAAAGGGAAGGTAGCGTGAGATTATTAGAATGGCCTCTTCAATAGAAAAGAAAGTTCAAAGATAGAGATGTGGCCCTTAATTCCCTTAATTTAATTTGTTTTAAAATAATAATAAAAAAATCTATTGCTAGGGGACCATCAAAAGATTTTCTATAAAGTTGAAAATGACACTGTTGGGTTGTCCTACACTTTGGTATGCCTATGTGGTAGGAGAGCATAGTCAGTACCATGCAGTACTATGAGCAGTGCTTTCATCTGCAGCAAATCCTTTGTGCAGCAATGGAGTCTGCAGTTGCTGATTGAGATTTCTTAGAGTATCACAGCCTCTCCCTCCAAAACTATATACATATACTACGGTGTGTTTTATAGCTCCTTGATGGCTCAGGCACTGGGACTGTTTTCTGGTTGAAAAAATTCCTTCTTTTCCTTCTCCGTGTGCCATGACAGGGACACACTTTTCCTGGTATTATTTCTTTAATTATACTAGTTACCAAATCTGATCCTTAACCTCCCACTGATCCCAACCTTATCCAATTAAACTGATGACTGATACAAGAATGTTTAATCTGAAGTGAGGGGATTTGTAGTTTGTCAGTTTTTTAAGCCCATGGTTCCCATCCATTTGCTAATCTATATATTTTCATGGGAGGCAAAAGAAAGGAAATTGCAGATTTTCATAGAAGGTGTTTGCATTTGAACTCTCAATTTTGCAGTCATGTGCACATGCAGTTTTATTCCACCCACAAAAATAATCTCATCGACCTCAGTGGGCCGAAAAGGGGAAGCAAGTGCTCTGATGTTGCAAGTGCACCCAAGCCACGTTTTCTCCCACAGGTCCTTCTGCTTGATTGCAAGACCAATTTTGTTGCTCGCTTCTAAGCGTTTGAATTTGTTGTGGGAAATCCTTCTCATGGCTGTGGGAGATGTTCAAGACCAGGCTGGATGAGGCTTTGAGCAGCCTGGGCTGGTGGGAGGTGTCCCTGCCCATGGCAGGGGGGTGGAACTCGATGATCTTTAAAGTCCCTTCCAACCCAAACCATTCTGTGATTCCGTTGATTCTATGTGCTCTGTATTTCAAGCTCCCTAGGTCAGCTTGGAATACTGGTATTGTGGGCAGGATTTCATCCCACCTCAGACTGGATATTGTTGCCCCACTCCCTGAGGCTCTTTTTGTGGCACATGAGCTCGTATGTCACGTTTGCCCTTTCAGTCTCCCTTTTGCTGGTTCTCGGTGCATCCTTCAGCGATACCCTTGGGTGATGCCTGGAACCACCCAGTTGCAGAGTTACTCGTGTTCCCTCTCCCTCTTTATTTCTGTTCCTCTTTTTACCCCAGGAAATCAGGAGGGCTCAACCTCATGGTAGGTAATTTTAACCTTCAAAGCCCCTTTGCAAGTGAAACATATTTAAATATTAGGTGGTGTGGGAAGTGCTGAGGAGCCAAGAGAGTTCCACGCTGCTTGCTGATCTGGGTCTGGGGGGATGGTGGTTGACAATGGCTGGGACTGTGCTGCAGCTCAGTCTAGCAGGGTGGGTGCCTGGGTGCCAGCACCCGATCCTTTTCATTTACCAGTATGAATGTAGCCTTTGGGGACCTAAGCCCAAGTCTATTCCGGTTCTGTGAAATACTAAGGCTTCCAACTCCTGCTTAGACGTTTTCATGTGTGGGAAAACTACCCTGGTCTACCTTTGAGAGTCAGCAGAGTGAGGGTCTCAAGTCATTGGCGTTGGTTTTGCTTTGGTAAAACCAAACAAAACCCGCAACAGTCCTGGAGGATCAGATAAATGATATTGTGTTGTTGCACATCCCCGAATTTGAGCATCTAAAATGCTGGTGTGCTGCACTCATAGCTCTTGCTTTTGGTCCTGCTGCCACAACCAACTCTTGCATCTGGTCCTTGGGTAACCTGGGCTGAAAGTCTCTTTCTCCCAGTTCAGCATCACCGAGGGAGTAGCATATTTTCTGCACAGCTAAATATTGGCCTCTTGTGCACTTGCCCAGATACTGATTTGCTTTGGGGAAGGGGAAATGTGGGCTGTAGACCACATCTTGGTACCACTAGTGGTGTCTGCTTTGGGAAGGGAGAGGAGTGGGCTCTGCTGATAGAAATCTGCTGGTCCTTGCTCAGCATCCCATGATTTCTTGTCTTAAGTTGTCTTTTTTATTTTATTTTTTATTTTTTTATTTTAGAAATGTTAAACGCAGCGACTTCTCTTTTTAATACATGATCCTAGCACTGGGAGAGAAGTAGTCTAGGAAAGAACTCCAAAACTCCTGCCCAGTATAAATGTTTTTTATGAATCTGATATCACCTGTGTGCCAAAAGCAAGAAGGCAATTGAAAAAAATTTCTTAGTTGAACAGTGTTTATTTGATGTAAAGAAAAAAAAAAAAGAGTACAGTTTCAATAATAAGACAAATTAGTCCTGTTAACAATGACTGCTTTATGAACCATGATGCGACAATATTCTGACTGATATCCATGACAAATTACCGAATAACTGTTATTTTGCATGGGGTGATGGGAAAAATGAATTCTCTGGATAGCGTAAAAATAAAGAATTAATTCTGAATGACATGCAAATTCTTTCTAATGGCTGAGAGATGGCCTTCATCTTTTGTTGGTTTTCTCTTCTGTGCATATGGTTTCTTTACGGTGCTGCCAAAATATCCCTGTTGCTCAGCAACAGCAAACTGAAATAACACCAGGCGGAGGGATCCTTTGGCTGATCCTGCCTCCTGTACAGGAGACTTTGCACTTGTACGTTTAATAAGTTATTGATGCAGCAAAATGCCGTAAGTACAAAGAGTGGAATGTAGAAGTTTCCTAAATATCCCCTTACACTGATTTCATCATTTTCTTTTCCAACACCTCCTAAACTATTTATTCAAGAGGGAAACTGTCTTTGGAAGAGCTTGGTGATGATAAATAGAGGAAAACTTATGCCAAACTCAAAAAAGTATGAATATTTGCTTTAAAAATTAGTGCCGCACGGTATTATGTAGGTATTTACCTGGTAAGACATAGGAAATGGTACATTTTTACAAGTGCTCTCTGGACCATCAGTCGTACAGAAATACTGTCAAACATCTGAAAACCTAATGCTTCACCAGAAAATACTGCCAGCAGTTCATCCCAAATATTTTTCACTCCAATCTTTCTCATGTTCGTATAAAGACTCGGTGTTTTTCTCCCAACCTCAAAAATCAGCAGTAGCACTATTCACAGGTTACTTTTTATTTCTTTTGCCACAAGAAGAACTGCTTTTCATCTCACGACCAACAGCCTGGTCTAGTTGAAGATGTCCCTGCTTGTGGCAAGGGGAATTGGACAAGATGACCTTTAAAGGTCCATTTCAACCCAACCCACTCTGATTTTAGGACATTACTCCACATAGGCTATTGCCAACTGAAGGACCTGAGCATACGGAGTATTTTGCGGTGAGATATGGAGTAAATAAGTAAATACGGAGTACCTAGCGTGTTATGTGCAAGGTTAGCTTCCTCCTTACCTACCTGCAGACCCCAGGAGCCTGTGCAGAGGTGGCACAAGGGTGGTCTGCTGCAGAGCTCTGCTATGGCCACCAGTCCTTCAACTGTTCTCTTCCCATCACAGTGCAGGGGGAAACATCAAAGCAGCAAATTCGTCAGCTGGCTGGGACAGTGCAGCATTTTGCTACTTGATATTTGTGGGCTGAGGGGGTCGGTGTGGGGAGAGGGGTCAAGAAGATCAGCTCAGGTTGGTTCTACTTGTGCACTGACTGAATTGAGCTGTTTTATTGCATAGGAAAGGGACAGCAACGACTTTGCTGCTGTTCTCTCCTTTGCTAACCCACGACAAAGTTGAAGTATTTAGAAAATTTAAAAAATCTAGAAAAATATTATTTTCAATGGCATTTGCTTTCTTGGCCTTGAGTTTACATACTTTTCTCTGCAACTGGCCTGAAACTTTTTTTTTTTTTTTTCTTCATTAAATGTTAGAGCCTAGTCCAAACTAAAAGCTGGGGCTGGAAGACACTCCTTCCCTGCCATTATTGTGACTTTTACCATAAGTCTTGCAAGTGTTAGCAATGCTGCCTGATTTATTTGTGTCCATCTTGTCTGTGATTACTGCTAATGCACATCCCTCTCCACCCATCTTGAGAGATCCTCCAGGTAGAATTCTTCAACACCTATTTTCTACTTAGCAAAGGGTGCTCTTTATTCCACTTCTCTGCTACTAAGAAGCTCTCTAAGGTGTATCCTAATGCTGTTGTAAGCTGGTTTTGGCCACTTAATTTAGGTGTCCCGTCAGATGCTGGGAGAGATGCTCTGCTCTTTATTGCCATGACTTGGGTTTCACAAACGGATAATTCTTTTCAATTTATAAGTCGTTTCCCCACTGCTTAAAATTCAAGTGTCTTTTCAGGCATATTTGCTTTTAAATCCTTACAGACTGGTCTTGGGAAATGTCTGTCCAGCACAGTCCTACCTACTCAGGATAAAACCAACAAATGTAGTGGAAAAAGTCTCTCCGCTCACAAGGTGGTGATTTTTTTTTTGTCATTTGACTTTGTAGCACACAACTTTTTTTTTTTTTTTTTTTTTTTTTTAGGGGGGTGGAACTTGTGCTTGTGCCTTAAAATCTGCAAAGGATCTCTCTGCTTGGGTCTTTATACCTCACAGCAAGGCTTCTGATGTTTCTTCATCTTCAGATAATAAGCTCGGTTGGCTTCTGGATAGGTGACTTTGGAGAGTGGCAGCTTGTAGATGGCAGAGTTGTTTGTGGTTATTAACAGGAAGGTCAGCGCCGACAAGCAAAAAGACCAGGTTCCTGATGGCACCCCAAACTGCAAAGAAAAATACAAACCACCTGTTTACCATGTGTCTTTCTTCTGTTTGATCCCCCAACCCTTGAACAAAACTGAGAGCCAGGCAGCTTGGAACAAGCTTTCTTGAGGAAGTCTTGACTTGGTTTTGCATAGAGTCTCTGCTTTATGAGATCTTGACATTATTCATTAACGTGCAACATCTACCAGCTTGGGTGAGAAGGCTGCCTTTTCTTTGTGCTTCTGCAGTGGTCTTGTATGGAGATGAGACAGGCATGGATGGAGATGAGACAGGAGTAGATACCAGAAAGCAATTAAAACAAATTTGAGGTTTGTTTACGCATGTGGAGGGCCCTTTTCTCAATCGCTTCAGGTGCAAATTATAGATGTATAATTATCTCAGAGATGTTTAGGGCTGAGCTGTGGAAGTTCAAGGATGAAAAATGGTGATGATTGTAAGTGGCTCGGTTCAGTGAGAACCACACCAATCCCTTGGGCAGACTGTGTCCCCTCTGCCAGCTCTGTCTTTGTCTGACTTGTTCTCTGAGTCTTGGTGTTTTGCATCCCAAGCCAGGAAAATATACAGTGTTCAAATTTGTCTTTGGAAAAAAAAGACCTTAGCTAATACACTACTTACCACTGACAACATGTTGGTCACCATTGCTCCCAGGTAGGCACTGAAGAGCGCTGTGAAAAAGAAACATCATTCCTGGTGAGTTCAGTGCTCATGGAGGACACCAGGAAGGAAAAACATCACTCACACTGCCTTGGGTCATTCACCCAATGTTTATGACCATGCCTGGACAACCCTCGCTTAAAGCTCTTTCCTTTGTGCTGTGTCCCCTCCAACCTGCAGCTCGTGGAAAGGGCAAAACAAAACAAAAAAAAACCCAACCAAACAAACAAAAAAAAAGAACTGGAGTGATGAAAACCGTGACTGTGGAAAAAAAATGCACTGATGTAGAAAGTATATAGCTTGATGGATGGGGTTGAACAGGCAAATAATCCCTCCACCCCCACTTCTCCTGCCTCTAGGGACAGGAGGTGGGTCACACAGAATCACAGAATGTTAGAGATTGGAATGGACCTCAAAAGATCATCTAGTCCAATCCCCCTGCCGGAGCAGGAACACCTAGATCAGATCCCACAGGAACGCATCCAGGCGGGCTTTGAATGTCTCCGGAGAAGGAGACTCCACACCCTCTCTGGGCAGCCTGTTCCAGTGCTCTGTCACCCTCACCATGAAGAAGTTTTTTCTCATATTCAAGTGGAACCTCCTATGTTCCAGGTTGAACCCATTGCCCCTTGTCCTGTCACTGGATGTCACACAATGAGATACAAAGCTAAATCTTTTTTATATGAGCATTGAATGAGCAATAGTTTCACTCCCAGCTCACTGTGATATTGACATTTCATATGGAATTGCCTTATAAATAATTATTTGGTCATTCTACGTTGCCTAGCTCATGCCTTTGGTATCCATTTCAATAGACTAGAGAAACTGTGCTATCTAACTACAGGTGCTTGAGCTCCAGTTTTCTCAAAGTTTAGATGTGTCCTTCTCCAACGAAGGAATTTGAGCTGGTACCTATGATTGGAAAAACCAATATGATTCATCCAGAAATGTTGAACAAACACAATTAATGCCTCAAAACTAAGCATCTAATTTCAAAGACTTTTTTTATCAGCGTCCACTGATCTCATCTTGTTTTGAGCACAACTCTTGGCTGAAAGTGAAAGCACTGCTTTTATTTTGTCAGGGTACATTAGGGAAATGGCCCCAATGTGTGGCTCAGTCATTCATCAATCTCACCTAAGTCCATCTGCCTGTCTAGAGGTGGCCATCCAACTTCAGGCCACCATGTACAGATGCATCTCGTCTCATTTCAAAAGGAAACATGGGAGTAGTGGAAATCCATCGCGTACGTACCACAGGCAATTGCCAGCAAATGCGTCTGCCAGGTGAAAGCGTAGAACATCCCCCCGATTGCAATGCATGAGAGGGAGCTGTTGTAGCCCCACAAGCCAGAGTAGATGTTGCTAAAAGGCGTTGCTAAGCTCAGCGCTGCAAAATAAGTCAAAGATGTGTTATTCCTTGGCCAAAGAGATAAAAGTAGCTGAGAAATGTCATGAATTCAACTTCTTAGGGCTCTAGCCTGCATACATACCCAGAGTTCCTATTTGTAGTTGTGTTGCTACAGTCTAAGACTAAAGCCACTCTAATCTAATGAAGTCGTGGCAGAATTTCCCTGATGTTGCTGAGCAGAATTTGGCCGTGTGATCCCAGCAGAAGATATACGAGCGAATGAGTATACATGTGAACTCTAAATGCATCCCTGAGGCCTGCACATTCAGACTGATGGCTACAGCTTTTACTAAGCTGCTCCTAAAACCATCAGAATATGACTAGAAATGAAGTATTTCATGATAAAAATTCATTTCAGACAAAACCATACTTCTTTCTTCTGAAGATTTCCACCATCGTAAAACAAGGGAAGGGAGCAGGGAAGTCAATTAAAAGAATTCTTAAAACAGAAGTGTATATATATTTTTTTTTTCAAGCCATCATTCTCCAATGGAAGAAACATTTGTGACTGTAAATGCTCCACTCATTGTGGTTCCTCTTTTATTCTCCGTGCCTTTATATAAATCTGTGACACAAGTCAAATCCTTACCTGCCAGCATCCCCACTGCTGATCCGATTGCTGCATGCAGACAAATGAGCGGAGAAGAGATAAATGAAGCAATCAGGAAAATTCCTCCAGTCCAGGGGTTATCGCAGCCATAAACCTGACCCACTCCGACTGGAATGGATTGCAGGAGCTGCATGAGTTTAAAAAAAAAAATAAAAAAAAGTAATTTGTTATCGGCTTTGTCATTTCCTATCTTTTTTTTTTTTTTTTAAACCTATTTTTCCTGGCCAGGTTCATTTTTGGCATTTGGTGCATGCAGTCCTTCCTTCTGGACTGCAATTGGAAAGTTTGAACACCTCTCGGGACACAGCAGGGCATTTCCACGGGGTTTCCCCTTCAATGGAAATGAGTCATGACTTGTTCCCTAGCCATGAACTCCTCTGACAGGTTTTTGCTCTAATATCAAAGGTAAATGTCTTTTGTGAAAGGGTTTGCCCATCAGCTTGACACGTGCTGCTGACTTGGCCATTTTTGCGTGCTGTCATGGACCATGAGAGTGAATCTAGAAATTAGAAATGAGATTAGTGCTCAGGTAGATGGTGCCTTTTCAGAAGACATTCATCACTGAGTGGGCATATCCAAGGGTGACATGGCCAGTAACAGCTTGGCCAGAATTACAAGACTTTACTCAGGTAAAGGCCATTAGGTATGAGATATTAGGAAGAAATGTTTTCCTGTGCGGGGGGTGAGGCAGTGGCCCAGGTTGCCCAGAGAAGCTGTGGATGCCCCATCCCTGGAGGGGTTCAAGGCCAGGCTGGATGAGGCTTTGAGCAACCTGGGCTGGTGGGAGGTGTCCCTGCCCATGGCAGGGGGTGGGAACTTGATGGTCTCTAACGTCCTTTCCAACCCAAACCATTCAATGATTCTACGATATCCCTGATCTACTTATATACCTGAAACTCCCTTGGGATTCACTAGAAACATGAATGAGTGTTGCTAGGTTGGTGGGACAAAGCCAAAGTTAGAGATCATTTTGAGACACTTTTCCTCAGTGTGGAACAGTCCATTTATGGTGCCCATAAAATTATGCACCATGGTAAATGTTCTTTGAGAAATGTCAAGTTTAGTGTCAATTAACTTCTTTTTCTTAGTCACTCCCTGGGAACCCCTCAAAATAATCCTCTGAGCTTTAGGGAAAAGCTGTTACTCTAACATCTACATTATTTATGTTGCTCTGCAGGAGAATAAAATGCTTTTTTGTAAAGGTCCCACTTGAGTATTTACTAAAAATATGTGAATGTTTGCCTGCACTCACGTTTGTAGCCATTATTCTGTAGTAATATCTGCTTGCTCATTTCTAATCAGAAAGATTAATTTTTAAAAACACAACACCCTGTGGAAAACTAAAATTTACCTGGGGCTTAACTGATAGTCTCAGCACAACCTTAGCTATGGGGTGATGGTCAGTACAGGCACAGTAATGGGTAATTAGATTCTGGAGACACTTTGAAGATGATAATAGATAAGTTTAGATCCAGCTGCAAATGCAATATACCGAAAAGATTCTCGTTTTCAAGCTATCAAAAAAGGTCAGTTTCTAGCATAAACCTCTACATTTTTGATAATCGCTATCTTATAAATGCAATTTTGTCTTGCCAGGCTGTAATGCAGTAACATAGAGGAAGATAATATGATTCTGCCAGGGTTTTCTTTGTAAGTGGGGATGGCTGTTATTTTTAAGACATCCTACCATCGGCATTTCAGCATCCGTCCAGGTGATGTTTGGTGTTGCTGTTGCAGGCTGAATGACAGTTGTAGGGAAGAAGAGGTTGTGTGGTCCTGATGCAGCCAGATAGAGGGTCAAGGCCAAGTTGAAAGGCAAGCTGAAAACAGGCAGATCCCACTTACAGAGGATTGAGCCTAAAGCGCTGATGAAAACAGGGCTGAAAGAAGAAGAAAATGGTCTCCCTAGGAGCTTGTCAAGGGAAAAAAAAAAAAAAAAGAAAAACCGAACAAAAAAACCAACAACAACAACAACAAAAAAAAACAACTGCAGGAAATTAACTCTTCTTCTTCTTCTTCTTATTTTTTTTTTTTTAAAGCTGTTTAATTTCCTCAATCTTTCTGATAATATCAGAGATATTCTAGGGTTACTAGGTAAATTTCCTACCCTTCCCGGGGCAGTTAGCAGTGTATAGATTCCTGTTGTTTTATGCAATATGATACATGATGAACTTGGTGACCACGAAGGAGATCAGTGATTTAATGGAGTTATTCCCCAGCTCAGTCTCAGCATTTTTTTTTTTTTTTTTTTTTTTTAAATTTATTTAGCACTTGAAGTGGACAGAATTTAGGACACTCATGCCAGATCTGAGTGAACTGTGAAGGTGGCTGTGTGTCCTCGTTCAAGCTTATGGACCATAAGTAAAGGCTGACATCAAAGTTAAGCTTATTAAAGTGAGTATAATGCTATATGAATTTCATGATTTTAGCAATCTCCAACTAGACATTTGGGGGCCAAAGACCAGCTTTCAAAACTTTTATAGTCCAAATATCTAGCAGATTATAGTGTCATATACATGAATAAAGTATTATTAGTTGTTTGTTTTAGTTAGCATCAACCATCATGGCCTGGGACCACTGAAGATCTTCTGTTCCAGGAGAAGTAAATTTTCATCACATTTTTGAAGTAAATTTTCATGCCATTTTTGTATGGGAGCTTAAATAGATGAAACACTTGTGGTTGATAGTGGTAGATAATGGTGAAAATAATGTTCCTCTTGAAACAAAAATGAACTGACTCATCACAGCAATAGGGCTAACATTTATGACATTAGATTACACATGATCAGCCACTGATTTTCCTTTTTCCCATTGGGTTTGTTGGTGAATATGTGGGTATTTTGTTTGTTTCTGGATTACACTGGAGTGTAAAAGTGCAACTAATGAAACAGATTTAGTAGCACATACGTGCCAGTTGTGCTTGTTTTCCATAGCAGTCTGCGTAGTGCATAGAAATACAACAGCTTGGTCTCGGTGTGGGGACAGTGGGGCTTGAGTAAGAAGCAGAGGAGCTATCCGACTTACCACGTCATGGACATCAGTGTTATTGGCAGTAGAAGCCACCAGTGGTAGTCTCCTTTAGCAGAGAAGACAGTCATGAGCAATCCCACCAAGACGCCATTATAGCCGTACAGGCCTGCTGCTATGGCTGATCTGTGAGAAGGAAAACAACTCTCGAGTTAAACAAGAGACATGGATGAAAGACCTTCAATTCATATTCTTGAATCCTGTGTCTTCTCTACAACAACCCCTTCTGCAATTACATCCGAAGTCCCTTTGCACCAGGTGCAGCTGGTGGGAAGATCTGGTCCTACCAGACCAGATACATGACCAGTGAAGGCTAGATACATGCTTTTCGTAGAGTTATAGAATGGTTTGGGTTGGAAAGGACCTACAAGAGCATCCAGTCCCACCCCCTCCCACTACCCCAGGTTGCTCAAAGCCTCATCCAGCCTGGCCTGGAACCCCTCCAGGGATGGGGCATCCACAGCTTCTCTGGGCAACCATGTCATCTGTTTAACACATACATCAGCACTGCAGTGAGTGTCTGGTTTTGAAGGGGAAAAGGATGGGCTCACCTGTCCTGACCCAGAATAAGTGCTGTTAAAGTGGAGACGACTGTTCCTAAACAGCCAGTCAGTGTCCACCATGGGTTCTGCACCAGGAAGCCAGCAACCACGATAAGCCCGCTGAGGGGGTTGTTGACAAACATCACCTGCGATATCCCACGCAGCACCCAGTCGATAAACTGGATCATGAGAGGTTTGTCTGGAAGAGATCAAATTAAATTATAATTGAAAAAAACCCATCAAAACCAAATATGCAGATGATACTGATTTAGGAAGGGGTTTTTTTTAAACTCAGGAAGAGTTTTGGGAGAGGAACTTGGCAGCATGACTGAATCAATGAATCAAAAAGATTGTAAAACCTGACTGAGATTTATTATGGTCTGTGCTGAAGTCTTACAACTGGAAAGCTGAGATGAACAGTGGTGGTTGCCGGAGTCCCCTGTTACAAAGTACCCTGGACTGGTTTCACATGAACCAGCTAATTTATGACTTCTGTGCCTCAGATGGCAAATCGTGTGTGTATCCCATTGCTGATTTATTATGGGGACCAAACACACCTACCTATGTGTAATTTAACTTCACAGTGGCATTAGGCTTGACAGAAACTGCTGAGCTGAAAGGACAGGGAGCATTATGAAGAATGGCAGAGCACAGAATAACCATCCGGGGCTATGTTCTGTGGGACTAAATTCACTTTGTACATGGCATGTTGGGAGGTAAATGTCATCTCAGTCATCTTCAAGATTTAAGCAGTATGTGGATCTCTGCACAAAGCTGATATTTCTACAAAACAGAAATAAATCAAGGCAGAGATAGTTTCTGCACTATCCCAACTTGAATCACGTTACTGAAAAGTTAGTTATTACTGCTTTGATGTAATTTTTCTTTGGAATCCCCTAATTAGTCATGATGAAGGAGCTTTACCTTTCAGCCAGGCTCCAAATTCCTTCATGTCTCCAGTGATATACCCAACGGCTTTGCAGATTTTCTTCCCAGCTTTGCTCAGTGGATTCTGCTTTGTTGGCTTTCTTTCCCCCTTGGTTTCTATCTTGACATCAACACTGTTTTCCATGTTGAAGTTCTGACCCTTTGGTAAAATTCAAGGGGGGAGGGGAAAAAAAAAAAGACAGTTCATTACAACACCTCTTACTGATCCCTGCACTGATTTAAGGTATTAAAGGCCAAATTCAAGTGCTTGCTTTCCATTCTGCCTTAGTTGCCACCTTCTCTCTGCCAGCCACCCAGGAGGGTGTTAGATGGTCTGCACTGGCCTTTGCTCTTCAACACGAGACAAGATAGGTGACCTCATATTGGGACCCATAGTGAGAAACCCTCAGAGACTAGTGAAAAGACTGCTATTAAACGTAGCAGTTAGTATATCAAGATTTAAATAAGGTACAGGAGTGTTATAGGCCAAACAGAGGTGTTCAGGCTTAAATAAGATGCTTGGGACATCCACACAAGGCTGGCAGAGACTGGGTCCCCTGTGGGAGACGTGCCATTTGGATTAGGAGCTGCTGGAGTACCCTTTGGCACCTCGTACAGCTCTAGACAGCTTCATTCAGGCATGTGGGTCAGACATCTGACTGTAAACATTGGATTTTAGAAACAATGTTGAATAGACAATTTGTTTAAGGGCCAATTCTCAATACTAAGTCAGCAAATTAAAAACCAGCCAAACCTTTCCCTGGAGGGTACTTGATTTCCTGAAGGGACTCATTCTTGGGAATTGTCAAGACAAAGAAAACACAAGACCAGGTAGGTTGTTGGATGAATACAAACCCAGAGCTGCTTCAGGTCTCACGGGTGAGTAACAGCTTGTGCAGGAAGTAAAGAATTTAGGTTGTGAGTTAATGGTCTAAATTAGATGACACAAACATGGAATTATTAGAGTTAGTCCTTGACTCACTTGCAACTTCAGGAAAAGCCTTCTTGGCAGCTGGGGAAGAGAATTCGTACTTTGGAAATACAGGTGCTGAGTACTTAAGCTAAGGCTGATGATGACATTTCAGGAGGTAGTAAATATTTGCACAAATAATAAATGGACATTTTCTGCTTTCTGGAAGGGTCCACTTAATGCAAATATAGGTTGCACATGAAAGAGGCTGAAGAAGGGACCAGTAAGTAGAAGACTGTTGAATTTGACTTGTATAGGACACAAAGGCAAGGAGCTTAGCTAGAGGAGGAAGAAATGAAAAGGATAAAAGTGTTCATAGGAATGGTATCTCAGTGCTGGAAGGCTTTTTCCTGGCTCGGTTATAATTCATTACCTTGATTCATTAACCTTCACTTTTCTCATCTTTTATTCTGAAATAGTAGAAGAAGTAAATTGGATGCACTTTCAGTTAAATCAAAATTTCCATCCAAGATAAATGCTCTTCATTTGGTGAAAGTGCATTTATATTTTCAGTTTAAAGAATCTTCCTCTATTTAACTTAGGCTTCCTCTGTTGCTAATCCAAAAAAGTCAAGGGCTGTTGCATTTGCATTTGCAGAGCGATGTTGTGTGTCCTGTGCTCGCATGCCCGATATGTTTCCCTGCATGCTGATGAGAAGCTATTTGCACCACAGGAGTCTGGAAATGTTCTGCAGCGTGGGATGTAACACGCATGTCAAGTGTCAGAGTTGCTTTCTGGCTCACTCACGTGGTGGAGAAGAAAACGGGTCAAGATGGAAGCCCTAATTCATCAAAACTTGGAGTAGCTTTGCTCTGGGTTTTCATGAGCAGAAGCAGTCAAATCAATGAACTTGGCACAGCAAAAAGGTCAAGTGACCCAGTGAGCTGCTTCCACCAAACTGGGTTGAACTTCACCCCTGATGAAGGCTGCGTCAATGCCCTGCATACCTGTTCTTCCAGAATATTTAAAATCACAGCACTTGAGGGGTAATCATCAGTGCCTTCTGGCCACAGCGCTGGTCAAACTCCTGTTTATTATGTCCCTGTTTATCAAGTGCACTGGTTGCCCGGAGAAGCTGTGGATGCCCCATCCCTGGAGGGGTTCAAGGCCAGGCAGGATGAGGCTTTGAGCAACCTGGGCTGGTGGGAGGGGTCCCTACCCATGGCAGGGGGGTTGGAACTCGATGGTCTTTAAGGTCCTTTCCAACCCAAACCATTCTGTGATTCTGTGAAGTAGTGAACCACTTGGAAACTGGCACCAGCATAGAATTTTTGGGGCATTTTAAATAGTTTTTGTCACTGTAAGAAGCAGTCACTGCCATATATGTTCAGATTTAATGGTCTGCTGACATGTAAGTTGTTTTAGGGGGTAGGTGATAGCAGCTATTTAAGAAAGGACATAAGGCAAATGGTGTCTCATCTCCAAACAATGGAGATGCTCAGAGAATTTTAAGACAACAATGTTTGGATTTTAATTCTGATGGGGATTGCATGAAGGCCAGGCTACAACAGGTCTTTTGAAGACATACTGTTGAAGTTATGTTAATATGCAAGTTTCAGTCAAAGTGGGCTTTTTTTCTTTGTGCATGAAGGAAGGAAATGGAAATAATTGTGAAAAGACTATTCTGCTGAAATAGACTGCTTGGTTTCTGCAGAGGGGAAAGATTTTTTTATTTTTTTATTTTTTTTTTTATCCTTTATTTCCATTAGTCTGGAAACTAACTGTTTTTCTCATGGTGTACCATGGAAAGTGAGAATTAGATTTGGGGCACGGCTGCTTTTCCCCACTGATTACAGATGTTTGCTGCCTCCCCTTCCTCAGATATCTTTGTGCTGTTGGATAACATCTCTCTGCCATCCTTGCTAAGGATGATCATGTAAGCAAGAAGGAAGGGTTCACAGGTGAAAGTATCTAGATACTTTTGTATCAGCTATGAAATAGAATCTGTGAGAACAGAAAAAAATAACCAAGAAGCTATTGTTTTATCATCATTTCAGAGTTAATAAGTGTCCTGCAGCAAAGCCCCGATGTTGCGCAACTTCATGCCTCCCTAAATCAATTTTTCTTCCACTTGTGTACACTTTTTCCATGTCACGCCATACCTACGGCATCTCAGTAATGCCTCGTTAAAGCTGCAGCGTAGCAGGCTCTGGACCGGTGCTGCACTCCTGCAATATCTGGCCTGCAAATAATTTTTTATTCACATTCTGAAATGGAGACAAGCCTGGTCACACATTCATTATGTGTTATGCATGGTGAGCGTGGTGCTGTGCTTGCAGCTGGGAAAGGACCAGTGGCTTTTTTTTTTGGCTAATTGGCTTAATATTCCCAGGTAATAGTTATTTCCAAGCTGGTGCCTGGTGTTGGGCTTTTATCTCTGAAAATGCAGCAAAGTTATCAAATATTTTCTCTTCTTTCTGGAATTATCCACTCTCCCTGACCAAATTCAAATTATTCTGTAAATCAAGAGGATTTAAATTACCGTGTGGTATTTATTTGTTTGCCCAGGGAACTGCTACTGCACAATTATGGTCATTGTACGTTGCGTTCTCTGAATTGTTGCTGTGAAGCATGCAGGCAGCCAGCTCTGTCTGCAGTGTGTTTTTAGAGGAATTCCTGCATCCAAGTACAATAGGAGGAAAGGGCCAGATTCTCAGCAACTCTGATTCCAGCATAGCCTGTGTAATGTTACCAGGGGTTTAGTAAAGCTGGGTATGTATAGTGTTATGTATAAGAACACACACATGTACAAGCACACTCCCCAAACCAGAGAGATTATAATGCACTTGACCCTCACTGAAAAAAAAAAAAAAAAAGTTCAGGTTTTCCCATAGAAGACACATTTCAAAGCTTGAGTTCAAAAGAAAGCTCATCCCTCAGACTCAAACATTCATTAAGCCCTTTTGCAATTCAGTTTGCAGAGATCTGTCTCTTGGGGACAGAGAAATCCAGAGATACTATCACATTAACTGCACATTATTACTATCTGGGCATTTTTCATTTTGCAGAATAGAAAGGCAGTAAGAGGAGAGGTTAAAGAGTTCCAGCTGGTGGGTTTTTTCCTTTCTTTTTTTTTTTTTTTGTTGTTTCTTTTTTCTTAAAGGTTCAGCCAACTAGACTAAGCAATACTAATAAATCCTCCCCCTGCTAGAAAATTCTCAATAATTGAAATTCTTGTGACATTCCCCAACCTCTGTGTTCCTCTTGAGCCTTCCCTGCTCTCACTCAGGAGGACTGTTCAAATGCTGCGTGTTAGGTGCTTGGAGAGAAGAAAGATCCAGGTAGGTCAGTAGAGGATGCACACTTATTGCTGTGCACGAAAAGGAACAAAGAAACTTCTCTTACCTCTCCAATGTGTTCAGGGGTAGCGGTTGCTGGCTAGGACAGAAGGAAAGAGGGGCAAAAAGAAAATGCCCCACCAGCTTATATAGTCTAGCATGGCTCCTGTCCTGATATTACTGATTGATTTGTTTCTCCTCCCACTTGGAGAGCTCCAAGCAAATGTCAAGAAGGTTCCTTCTTGAGTTCCCCACCTTTCCTCTTGCTCTGTCCTTGGTCTCTGGCCAACTGTGTCTCCAAATGTCTTCTTCCCTGCTGCTTTTTGTTGTTGTTGTTGTTGTTGTTGTGTTTTGTTTGTTTTTTTTGGGTTTTTTTGTTTTTTTTTTTTTTTTTTTAATTCTCCTTTAACTCTGTCCTGCACCACGAAGGCACTATTCTATTAACACACTCGAGCAAAGGACCTGGTGACCTTCTGTTGTTTAATTGATTTTTGTCAGTTATTTGAGAAATTCAAGGGGTATTTTTCTTTCTTCTTTCTTTTTTTTTTTTTTTAACCTGGCCTCCCTGGCTCTCTGGAGGAATCTGGAATATCAGAAATGTGGCGTATTTGAGAGGTTTATAAGGCTGTGAAATCGGTGTGAAAGAGTGGAAGTCTCAAGAGAGTGAATTATGGGAGGAAGGGCGAAGAAAAAAGCTAGTGAACTTAAGGAACCTGTTAGGCTAATTTAAACCATGATTTAGTTCACTTCAGGACTCTTTCAGAGGATGGCTTAGAGAAACAACCCTGCAACTTCACCCAAGTGCCGGAGAGAATGGTTTCAGCATCTCCATGAGCTGGAGTGATGTTATTCTCACTGTGTTCATTCCCAGGGTGCCTCTCTTTTGATTAAAATGTT